CGATGACTTGTCCGGTTAACTGGGAGGTTAACCGTTGGTTTTTACGCTGTAAAGTCGCTAAAATGGCTTAAATAACCGCGGTTAACCGACGGTTTTCGATCGGTTTGTGCGACATGGGTAGTCTAGTAATCCACTCTTGTTGTACGAGCTGAAAATTGTTTCTTTGATCCTATCGAGGATATAAATTATTTCATCTCTGAGAGCATCATAAAAAGATTTACAGTATGCAACTACTAGCAAAGGAAATTAAGAAGTAGTATATGAGCCAAGTTTTATGTGCTTTCTTGATTCATTTCTATATAGAAGATATTTTATGTTGAGTTTTTAAAATCATTAGATAGATCAATAGTAAAAAACTCTTTTTGTGCTGCGTATAAACATGGCAAATATTTCACTATATTTTTAATCATGCAGATAGGTAAGTCGACTTTATTCATTTGTGTTCACAATATTTATTCATGTTCGTTTTGTTGCAAATCAAACCTGTACTACTATGTACTGCTCACTCTTCTTGTATTTGTGTAAAATATTCAAGACTTTTACTAGAAAGAAAAATGAATACACACTTCAGATATAAATAAAACCTAAAACTGTATTTCTCTATTGCGTTCAGTGGCAAATATGAAGACAAAATAGTGAACAGCAAGGTTTTCAATATATATTTTTCTCTCAAACTACTGAACTAGCTCAAAACGACTGGAATTCTAGATGGTTTTGACTGATGAAAGTGCCCTGCAATAAATTACATAGTTACTGATAGCAATTTTTCTTTTTATAGATTTAATGGATTTGAAAAATACATGTCAGCGTAATGTCTTGTCCAGATTGAAGAGATAAAATGAAATATAGATATGTAATCGAAATCTACTACATATATGCCTGTATGCTAAGTTGCTAAGTTGTTCTCTTTTACAAATAAATTGTATGTAGTTTCAGAATGCTCCAATAATTTTATCATAGCAAAGATATGTATGTTAAATGAAAACATAATAGACACCCACACGGCGTGTGGGTGTCTATTTACAGTTTATTTGATTTTAAATTAAATTTTTGAAAATTTATTTCTCGATTTAATAATTTTTTTAAATTTAAATGTGGCACCCTACCCACACCCACACCCAGTCATTTGAACAGTGGAAAACATTAGAAGTTAATGTCATTGACTGTTCCTAGACATTGGTTTTGTTCATTACAAAGTTCTGCCGTATTGTTAATCAATTCGTTCGCTTGTTGGGTTGCAATCAAAATAGCATCCTGTTTTAATGAGTGAACTTGTTGAAAGAGTGCATTTTGATCATCACAGTCAAGCTGTGATTTTGCACTATCATGAAGAATCAAGGAAAGACCTGCGAGAGCGACCTAATTTAAAGGAATCAACATGAAATGATTGAATGAAAGATGCATAGCTTGTTTCATACTGTTGCATCAAGTGACGTATGCATATCATTGACGCACGTTGTCTGAGCCATGGTAATTACTTTTGGGTCGATAGCACCTATGGCTCGTTTTTTAGCAGCATCAATAAAAAGATTGCATACTACAGGAATGATAGCTATCGGTTTTGCACTCGTTGACTCAACGGAACAATTCAATTTTAGACATAGACCAACCGATACATCGATCAAGGAATATGATTGATAGACATAAATACCGTGATTTTTACCCTACAAAAAAAGGAGATGATCATGACTTCAACCAATACTAAACATTATGGAATTATTGAAACATACAGATTTGCTGATGTGTACTACAATAGATTCTGTTTTGTGGAAATGAGCCCACGCTGAACCACCTGCTAACGCCACTGATGTGGCCGGTGTAGTATCAGCACACAATGGTGGAATTTTACTACTACCATTAACCACACAAATGGAGTCGCCGTAGAAAGTTAAAACGTACTAGAATAGCAAAAAAGTCAATTTTTTTCTTCGTACAATTGTGACAAATGAAACGAAGTAATTCTAACGCCAATAATATAATGAGGATTCGGTCCAACGAGAACAGAAATCGAAACGAAACGGTTACTGATGAGCAATTCCCAGCCCGATGTTTTACACCAATATGTAGATTGGGGTCCCCCATACGCTGATGGAAACGGAATTAGATGAGGATCACCAATATACGAACATTGACCATAATAACTTGACTCTTGTGTTGAGCCTGTCTTTGATTGAGATCCTATGGCTAATACAGCAAAAATAATAATAACGAAGATTTCTTTTCGGATCATAATACTAGAGAAGAATAAAGACAACAAATTATTATCTTAGTGCATCGAGTCTTGTGTTTAAATACTGTTCTATTACTGATTCTAGAACATATTTTTATCCAAATGAAGGACGCCAATTGAAATGATTTACACATAAGTTTTGTAAATTAAAAATTACTTATCAATCATCGACTTTTTAATACACTATAGTAGGCATAGAAAAGCCATTAGAATTATTAACACTACGAACAAGAGTTATTTTGTTTGCCTAAATATATATATTGATTAAAGACCCAGCATTAGGGATGGACTGTCGATTTTAATTTGAGTTAATTAAGTGGTTTTACTTAACACTTAATATTAAATTAACGTAAAGTGCCACCCCTAATCCTGAGTTCTCACATTATCCATGCAAAAGAATGGATTAATAATCAGATTAAAAATCTATTATAATGACACTATTTCTATCTGATTTTAACCAACTTTTTCAACCTTAAACGACAGATTATTTTTGATTTTATTTTAATCGATTATAAGAGTTTTGTAGGTAATCAATTAAAATTGATTAAAATAAAATCAAAATCAAAAAGAATTTGCCTTTTACGGTTGAAAACTCTGGTTAAAATCAGATTATAGTAGTGCCATTAAAATAGATTTCTAATCTCATAAAATTCAAGTATAATGAAATTTTTTACGGCTTTGTTTCACATAGGTACCATTGTAGTCATAGCTTGATGTGTTATTATCAAGTGCCTATTCCCTTCGAAGGGTAAACAAGAAGAACATTTTTCTACCTATTTCCTTTCTTATTGTAACGGTATTTACCGTTACGGCTCACTTTATGTACTTTATCCTCTTCGCTGTATCCTATGTTGGTGCATTGACCTGATGAACTCTCATTGTTCTATTGCATGACCGTTCCCTCTTTGTCTATATCCGCCCAAGTGTGATCGCTTTCGCGTATATAAGGGAATGTAACTAAAGGAAATGCACGATTAGAGATGTGCAGATGACACAATACACCACCATGCCGACAGGCATAGACGACACTCTCTATGTTCGTCACACTTATGATCACGTTTTCGAGACGCAATAGGAGTAGTTGAAATGATATTGATTAAGAACAATCAATGTAAGCATTCACACGTACCATGGACATAAATTTAACAAACTATCTGTATAAGACATGCAAATTCAATCCTATATCTGCATGTCGCATCGGTCAGAATAGAAGATTTGTGAACGGAAAAGTAAGATACTATGGCGTCGCTTATCCTATGTATACTTGTGATGTTAATGTGAATTTCTTACAAATCAACGGAATGCAACCAATTCTGGTGAGTTTATTGAATTGCATGAACACGTTGAAGAAATTTCACAGTTTACTAGTCATATCAAATTGATTGATATAAGAGAAAAAGGGGCAAGCTCTCGATAGATTTTAAAAAGCTGTTTCTTATAACTATAAGCGTGGCGCCAAAAACATATCACCCTATCTCTACACTTGTGCTATCTATTAGCTAAATGTTGGCATTAGAATGAACACACTAGTCCTACGTGCCTGAAAGGTGATACTATAATTTCAGTTCTTAATTTACGGATCACCAACACCGTTCTTTAGGAGAAAACAATCTGATTGGTAAAAAGAACAGTTTGACTCAATCTAACATTCAATCACACACCATTATACCTTTCAGAATCACACCCAATTTCATTAAGTAAGTTATGAAATTTCTTCATTTGCTTCACAGACAAAGTAGTAGACCGCAATTTTTCCAGTCATAACTGATTCTCCTTATTTCACACCAGGACACTTCTCTTACGGGCGACGTCCGTGCTAATATGCAGAGAAAAAAGTAATAAAGGAGCGAAAGACAATCAGATGATTATTAGGGCAAACTCGCATAATGAGAGTAAAAGAAGAATTAATCTCATAGATGAAGTGATGAAGACCGTAATACAACACCACATTTCGCAAAATACAAGAATACACCCGCAACATATTTTGCCCCTACGCGACAGATACCGTACCTGTGCATTCTACTCCATTTGTCTTAGGATCATGCAAGCAAACTGCGTTCGGACCACAACCTCCATTTTTGACAGCGCAACTATCTGGAACGATAGAAATCCCGAGGGAATGTTTCCATCTTACCCGAAATCATCATACCTGTGCAGACAACGTTGGAGCCACTACCTATGTTGGTATACCCAGTTTTACAGGTGCATTTTACTGCATGTGTCGTAGCATCGTGTGAGCAGGCGGCGTTTGGATCACAACCTCCATTTTTGATAGTGCAACTATCTGGAAAATTGAAATCACGAGAAAATGTTTCTAATTCTATCCGAAATCATCACACCTTTGCAGACAACCTTGGCGGTGCTACCAGTGTTTGTATAACCAGTTTTACAGGTGCAGGTCATTGCACCTGTAGTTGGATCGTCTTAACAAAGAGCATTTTGATCACATCCACCATTGTTTTCATTGCAGCAGCCTAAAACAGAGTAGTGGTTTTGAGGGTGTTGGTGTGAGTGTCTTGGTGGGTGGTGATTTGGATATGGCTAGTATCGTTCTCTGCCAGTCGCGACGTCAAGGTACCGAATGACAAACAGGGGATTATAGCTCAATTTTGGAGAGAGTCGGAATTGCGTGTAATTCCCTGCAGGTCCTGTTCGTCCGAGTTCCAAGAGTGCCAGAATTTTGATGGAATGGGTTCTCTGCTTGGGACTCGTTTCGCAATGTTCAATATCGCGCCAAAGGAGGTATTCTCGCTAAATTGAAAGTGATATTGTTTGGCAGGAAATTTGCTTCCGTATCATTAAGGAAAAGTGGAAAGAAAACCCATGTTACTGTAGGTATAGGTTGGAGAAGTGTCATTCGTAAATCTGCAACCTAATGGAATTGATCTGAGTCGTCATGAGACAATAGGTTGAACTGGCTAAGATCGAAATTATCGTAGAATATTTCACTTACAACAGTTTACAACATCATAGATAGAAGCAGCAATATCAACATGTGGTTGGGTTTTTTCTCTCACTCATACAGAAATAAATTTCGTCGAAACATTCATCAGAAAAAGGAAAGTGAAAGAATTTTTGGGATTGCATGAAGAAATGTGATTGTTGAACTTTATATTATTAACGCGGGTTGTCTTAGATGAGGTGAAAGTATCGCCAAACTATAACGAAAGTAAAAGAACTGGTCGGCAGTTCTGATTTTGTTTAGGAAGCCAGTTGAATCCTCTAGATCAACCAATCTGCTAGAAGTGTAGCTGTCACAACATATGTTTTCATTATACAGCAGAATATCAAAGGTCTATAAGATTTAATTTATAAACTTACTTTGTGCAAATCCACCGTGAAATGTTCGTAACAAGAATACCAGCAATGGTAACCATGCATAAAGCAAACGACCATATAATGCCATTTTGCGAATCAACAGCTTCGATTTGTGTAACTTGGAAATTGTTGGAAAGTGCTGTGAAAATGAAAAAAATCCGAGGATTTATCTAGCTCGATAAATCAGGCGCAGAGGGAGGGAGCACATATTGAAGAAATAATCGAATGTGATCGCGTAACAGCTTGTGTCCATTAAATTGCATTATTTTGGGCCAGGCAGATGTCACACATGTGTTTGATGAATATTTAATGATTTGAAAAATCAACGTCGCATTTTAAAATAATCTCGAAATAGATTTAATAGCATGCTACGTTGTTGCCATATACATTTTTCTGAGTACTATAAAATTTCCAGGATTTAGGCCATCGTTTCCTCAGGGCCACCGTCTCCAGAAAAACGTTTTTTTTGTGAAACATCGTAAGGCAAGATCATAATCATAATAAAAGTTATAGAAAAATTTATCGTCTGAGATCTTAAAATTTTCGCTACAGCATTAGCACATTCACATTATTCTATCAAGATCTGCAATAATATCTTAGACACAGATTTGTAAAAATTTGGTAACATGTATCATAGAACTTCAGGTTATTTTTGTTCGTTTTTTATGAGTTTTATTATACTAGCATTTCATACAGGTAATTATTGTGCCAAGAAGTACGTCCCTCGTAAACGACTAGATTACACTGTAAAAAAAATGGTGCGGTACCGAACCCAAAAGAGTACTCTGAACGAAAAAAAGATTTCGTACATACTACGAAACCTAAAAGGGTTTCGATTTGGTTGCAACTATCCGAACTATTTTAGGTTTGGTACAGACCACTACGAAAAACTTGGAAAAGCGTCCTGAGTCAATGCCAATCAATCTTAGTCATCCAAAGTTGTGTACGAAACCTTTTGATGGTTTCGTATTGTCTTCCTAAATGGTTCGGTACGCTGCAAAAGAATTTGTATGATTGTGAAACCATGTAGGAAGACAATACGAAACTCTTAAAAGGTTTCATACACAACTTTGGATGTCTAAGACTGATTGGCATTGACTCAGGACGCTTTTCCAAGTTTTTCGTAGTGGTCTGTACCAAACCTAAAATAGTTCAGAAAATTTCAACCAAATCGAAACCCTTTTAGGTTTCGTAGTATGTACGAAACCTTTTTTTCGTTCAGAGCACTCTTTTGGGTTAGGTACCGTACCATTTTTTTTGCAGTGTAGATAGGGGTGATATGAACCGCCGGACATCCACTTGTAAGCCATAGAGCTGATGAACATTCTGCGGTGGCGTAATTAAGTTTACGTCACTAATATTCATCCTTGTATATGACAACACATAATCGCGCACTGAACAGTACGCAATCTTTCTGTGTATCTTTTCTATCTAGTTATCTTTTTCTTTCTCCGTATCCCCTTCTCTCTCAATAACTTTTGTCTCTATGTATTTTCTTCTCTCTCCGTTCTCTTCTTTCTTGGAGGCGTATATAAGCGTGTGTTTTGCATTAGATGGATACATTTCAACGTGAAGTATAGTTGAATAAACATCCTGTAGTAAAACACTAAACTATGCCTCTCCATTTGTCATAACGATTTAGAATGAAGTAGTTAGACTAACATCAACGCAGCGTATAACGGTAGAGTTAAACTTCTTCTCTTTTTCGTTACGATAGGGCAGTTTAGTTGAGTTCAGTTCTAAACAAGTCAAGTTAGAAGAAAGTTATGCTTTGTAATACACACAATTGTATTCGGTTGTATTGAAAGATAACACACAGAACTCATTTTGGACAAGAATAAACTCATCGTGTGGAATTGTTGTTAATATTATACACACAGTGGATAAAATATATAGCTGATACTGATCTACACTTTGTTGTTCATCATCCTATCAGGATATATGCGCAATTCTATATATCTCGATAGTTATTTGCAGAATATTTACGCGATTTAAATATTTTTCCGTTACAATTATATCCGTAGCTTGTGGGTGTGGGTATTCTGCGTATAATCTACATCCACATCCACACCCAAATCTATTCAACATTTTTCCTCTGATAAATACAATGAAATTAGATAAAAAGATTCAATAAGCAGACATTTCATAAATTATATAATACTTAATTGATTAATCGCAGTTATTGCTAAATGAACAAACAGAGAATATGTTTTAATTTCATCAGATTTTATACTAATCTTAGATTTTTTATTTGAAAACTTTATTAAAATGATTGACGTTGCATTATTCATATGATATATAATTTAGTCAAATATAATAAGAAAATACTTGGCAACAGAACAAGCTAACCGTGCATTTTTTTCATATCGAATTTTTCAAATCTTCATAATCATTTTTAATAATTAAAATATGTGCATATAACTTTGTGTAGTCCTTCATGTTTTTAGTACGACACTAAATGCTTCTTTATCAATAAATTTCAACTAATTATTTGTTGAGCATACACGTAACGAATGATGAAAACATCGAAATTAAGTAGCAGTGTAGTAACAATTGCATTGGTAACAACAATAACAAATGATGAATTACAAAATTAAATAGCATCACAAAAAAAATAATAATAATTGATAAACATTTGTTGGATGTGAGCATAGGCGGCGCGCCAGCTATGCGAGGGGTATCAATTGCTACCCCTATGGAAATTTAAGGGCGACAATAACTTTTTATTGCTACCCCTAATAATACACAATTCGATAATTGTTAGAAGAACGCTTATACACGATGAGCCTTGTTTTATTTTCTTGTAAGGCTCTACTTTCATCTTGTATGTCTGACATTTATTTCTGTCAAGTTTGATGTCGGTTTGCATTACATGGTTGAAGAAACAAAGACTATTTTTTCGCTTCCTTTCCTGATACAAAGAAAGTCTTGATTAATTTCCACTGTTTTATATTCAATTCGATTTTTTTATGATGTACTACGAACAGTTCAAAAGTAGTGTTGTCAATACTTTATTTCCGTATAAAAAGCTTGAAGCAATTTTCTTTTCTCATATAGTGATAGAGAAAACAATGCTCTTTTTTTCTACGGCACTTGATCAATCTTCACTTAATATCAAAATTAAAAAGCCTGCATAAGAACTGTTTTTTTCTATAAAATGTGACGGTAGCACTAATTATATTAAAAAAGGCCAAGTGAGTACTTTTTGAGTAACTTTTCATTGGAACAAGATAGAGAGTTGTGATCTTCACAGTTTAAAAGAGGACATAAAGATGTATCGAATCGTATATTATAGGTTTTTTCACTCTGATTTTCTTAAGATTTTTCAGTCTTCTTTCAAAATAAATCTACTTCGCGAGGTATGTGCATCGAATTTTCTATTATCACGTGTGCATTCAAACCGTTAATGAACGATCTGTACAATAGCAAAAATAGTTGACATGCTAAGAATTTACTATTATAGAGTTATAGGTATGCTAGTAGAAGCCGTAAGCGATTTTTCTAGCAATTTCTGTATAAAGGTTTGCTTTTATTGTTTGCTATTTGATGCAAAACTATTTCTTTGGCACATAGAAAATTGATTAAACATTATCGGTTTAATAAACTTATTGCTATCTCTAGAAACTTCAGCTTGCGCCGCCCATACTCTCGTACAATAGAGGATTGTGAAGCCCTCGATCAGTTTTCATCCGATCCTATTATCATGATGAATAGTGTCTGAGTTTGGTTCGAATTTTGTTTTTTGATTATTGCTCATTGAGTTACGTAATAACATTTTACTCATATCTTTATCTATCACAATTTCAACACTTCACTAAGAATGAATGCAGTTGTACCGAAATATTCAGATGATAAAATAAAAAAGAATTCTAACTTTGTGATTAAAGAACAGTAGCTTTCTTAACGATAAATATGTCAATATTCAACGAAATTTGTACGTTGCATGAGACATCTAAATCAACGAAGTTTTAATTCGACCTCTTTTTTCATTTAATTAGCAATAGTTTCCAACAAAAAAAGAGCTGAGTTGTTGGCAATAATCCTCCTAGTCTTTCTCGTCATGAATGCATTTTGAACTATTTGAGTTCTAATATACGATTTACGTGAAAAGAAAGTTTCCGAGATCGGAACTACGCGTAGAAAATTTTTTCCTAATCGGAACCACAAATAATATGTCATTGGTTTAGTCTTTCATATAGTAAAGAGTTGAACATCTTCAATGCATTTCATTAAAGATTCAATGAGAGAAAAGACATGCAAACGACTCTAATTTGCTTTAAATAAGTTCATTTATAAAAACTTGAAAATTTATTCATTAAAATTATCAGCACAGGTGTTTTTTTGTCGTTTTAAATTAGTACAGCATTGATTAAAAAAAGTATTATTAGTATTAATAAATGAATTTTAGCATCCTATCAGCATTAGTCCAAGGGTGAAATGTTAATCCAGAGATTTCGGAAGCCTCTGGATTGTCACCGCATCCTGGATAGACCGAATTCACGTTCCCTCCTGCTTTTCGTGCTCGATTTCTAATGACTAACTGTCGATAATTGATGTCTGCAACCATAGGATATTCAGTATTATTTCTTAATCGATTTGCTATCCGATTGATAGTTCTCATTAAAATTGCTGCGAAGATTTAACATTGTTGTTGAGCGTGAAAATCAATGATCGCTTTATTGAGTTTTTAGTGAGAACAAGAGTAAGTGTAAAATAAATCAATGTCAAACTATGAGCTTAATTGCTCTATGAAATCCAATAAGGTGTATCATAGAACAGTCTTAAGATTTAATTTTCATGCAAACTTAGTAATTGAAACAAAAAAAAAACAACATTTCAATTCAAGCTATTCCTGTATGATGTCAGTTGTAACAGTGTTTTATAGAGAAAATTTAAAATCGCAATTTTGAATAGTATACCATGCACTACCAAAATAGAAATTGTTTAAAACGACCAAAGCTCAAGAAGAAAACGAATCAGTGTCAATTGATATTTTTTGATTTTTTTTAATATCCGATATTCAACTGTTTAACATATACTTTGAACTGCAGGTCGATCTTTGAGTCATACCTCTTATTTTCGATTATAGATATCTGTGTTGATAACCTGGTAAGCGTAAATTAAACTTTTTAGTTGAATTTACCATATTTTGAATCACTTCTTATATCAGCAAAACCATTTGAATGTACATAAAAAATAGAGATGTATAATTTCATATTATTGACTGCAGATTCAGTCTAAAATAACAAACACCAACAACAACATTCACAGAGGTACTGAGATATATATTTATATATGTCGTATCGAAGTTACTTTTAATTCATCTATCAATAAATAATTTGCTAAATTGAATGTTCCACCGCTGATGGAAGGATCAAAAAAAATTTTTTAAATAAATACTACTTACTTATTCAGCAATAGAAATTATTCATAAATTATGAGGAAAATATTGAAGATATACATATTTAGCTAATAGCACAAATTTTTAGTAGAAGATAATGCAGGTGTAGCTGTCATTTACTGAAGTGTGAGATATATTGGATTGATGAAAATGCCCATTTCACTTGTGCTCGTACACAGGTGAACGATATATAATTTCTGCTAGTACATATGCTCATCAATTAACAGCCAGAATTAATTTGGTCCATTGCGATATAATCTCCTTATTGAGACTGTTAAATTACATGTTTTAACCCTTAATTAATTTTATTGGATCAATCTCTCCATTACCACCGTACACCTTACTCTCATCGATGAAAAAGACCTCTGTTTATACATGAGAAGTTTTTCAGTCGCTCGATCTTATCTATTAACAAAATAATGAATATTTTGCTTTCCAAAGAGTTTTTCACGTTTGTTTTCATGTAAATTTTTACATAAAACTAGGTCTATAGCTTAGAAAAGCTCTACCTATTTTAATATTTACCGGAAATAAATCCAAAGAGATATAAAGACATTTTAAAGTGGTCGTCTTTTATTTACTCATAATTTACTCATAATTTCTATTGCTGAATAAGTAGTATTTATTTATTTTTTTAAATTTTGATCATTCATTCAGCGGTGGAACATTCAATTTAGTAAATTATTTATTGATAAATGAATTAAAAGTAACTTCGATACGACATATCTATATATATATATATTGCCACAGATAACGTATATATCGATGAACCCGATATATCACTACAATATTTCTGTATTCATAACTCATCGTTAGTACTTTACCTCGACACTACACATTCCAGAATATAAATATGTTGATGCTGAAGAAACATTTACAAATAAAGGTAATCCTGGTATTTAAATTTTAAGAGGACGTACATGGTAATTATTCTTTGCTGTTCGACAAGCTTTTTATAGATATAATTGATAGAGGAGATTGAAATTAGATGAAGATTCTCATTTTCTTATCTATCAATTTGAAAAGAATTTTATTATTTAAGGATGTGTAAACATGAGAAACAATGATAACAAGAAACAAAACAAAAAATAGGAGAATTGCTTGCACACTGTCGTTGAGAAATACAAATATATATATATGCATATGTTTGTTTATAAGATTGAATTGAAATTCATACTACTCGATGTTGATGAAATTGTTTCTTCATCTAAATGAATCTTTTTATGTAATTTTAAATGTACAAGTTGAGTGAAACGTGCAGAACATGACCTATTTGGGCATAGATATGGTTTATCGCCTGTATGTAAACGAAGATGTGTTTTTAAATTTGATGTTGATGAAAATCGTTTTGGGCAATATGCACATGAATATGGTCGTTCACCTATTCGAATATCAAAAGTACAAAAAGTCAACCGAATCACAAGGAAATTTTTACCTGAATGAACAAGTGAATGCTTTTGCAAATGAGCGAATTGTGTAAATGATTTTGGACATTGTGTACATACAAATGGTCTCTCGTTTGTGTGAGTTCTTAAATGTACTTTCAAATTCGATAATTGACTAAATGTTTTATGACATTGTGCACATTCATAAATGATTTTTCCGTTTTCTTTTCGTAATGGATATGGTAAAGATTTATGACCACGACTATGAATAGGAGTTTTTGTTATTGTTGTTGTTGTTGATGGTGATACCGGTGATATCGATCTTTTCCTAGGCAATGTATGATCGCCTAGAATTCTCTCAATTGAAAAACTCAATGGCGGAGATTTATTTTTATTTGCAGTCGGAATAGATTGTTTTTGTGAAACTAATCCAACAAAATCAAATTGGTTATCGATGAAATAAAACAAAAATAGCAGCTATACTTATTTGAAATGGTTTTCTTGAAGTATTAATTGAATTTGCTATTGGATAGATTCGATTATCAGTAGCTGTTAATGATGATATTGTTTGTGAAGTGCATGGTAAAAGAAAAGGTAACTATAATGAAACAAATAGTTTCGAAAAATAAAGAATCATCAGTAGGGAATTTTGAGAGAATATGGAAGGCAACTGTAAAATGTGTTTTATGAGTATAAATCTTCTCCATCTTGTTCTCACTATGCTGAAAGTATCGTAGATAATATGGTTAATCCATTTAACTTACATGAATATCTCGTTGATGAAATGGCCAACAAGTATAAGATTGCTGTAAAGGGAAATCTTCAATGAAATCGAATGCATTTTCAATACTTCTCTTCATTACTTTTTGTTCATAGATCCATTCTGATATCGATGGTATCGTTAATCGTTGAATAGATTCATGAGAATGAACAAGAGGATTATGGCGATGTATATACTGTTGATTTTGAATCATCATTATACAATACTAAAATCATTTTGAAAGAAATATCTTAGAAAAAAAAAGTTTTCTACTTACGCTTTCTTGTATCAATTTTCATCGTTGAATTGCCAGAAAGAGAAGTCTATTGTTGATTTCTCTCTCTCTCTGTGTGGCGCATGTACGTGATGGAAGAGAAGAAGAATTTTTTATCCAATCAAAATTTTCTCCGACAATATCTCACATTTCTTTCGTTTTCAATAGACCAATAAGAAATCATATATACAATCATTTTCCTATTAACTAAGTGATGATTGACTATGTTTGAATATTTGATTTGAAGTTTAAAACAACGTAACGATAGTAATGTAACACATTTCGATATACACTATTCTTCAGGTCTATCTCTGTATTACATAATCAAAGCGGTTATACTTTTTGATGATCATTTACAAGTAGCATATACTTAGAGATGTCTAAATCTAAAGTGAATAATCAGACACTAAAACATTCTTTTTTATTCTCATTTAAATTTTAATCTAAGACCATGTCTCATTTTTGTTCGTTTGATTCAGATAGTCTCAACTCATCAAAGATCACAAACTCAACAGACAGTGTCAATTTTCTATCTATCTCTCGTTTTCTTTCTTCTTCTTCTTCGTAATAATGGTCGGTGAAGAAAAGAAGATCTGACAATTCAATAGATCAACTTTGTTTGTATTTGTCTTACGCTTGAATTGTTTCATGTCACAAATTTATCAGTATCGAATAGTATATATAATCATCGACTTTCTTTTCTTTTTCTATTCTATGAAATTTGAGAATGACGAAAAAATTAGTTTATTCTTTTTAAGAAACAGCAAATCGTTTGAACACAAAACGGGGCGGAGTTATGTCGCCGTCTTTTATATTTTTATATTGATAAGAAAAAGACGTACGAAGTGCTGTCAAATGGCATTTTTCATCGTATATTGTTTCTACCATAGAACCTTACGATAAGAAATAAGTCTTTGTCCTCCTGTCATTCTTTTGTATATGCAATGCAATCATCCAGATAATTAAAGAGAGAGAGAGAGAGAGAGAGACTAAAAGTCACAATTCAAATCTATGTGAAAGAAATTAAAAAAAAGAAAAAGAAGGTGTAAAGATAATCAAACGTGCCACGAAATTCATTTTGACATTCTCTATATCAGCAATCTATTTGTTTTAGACAATGATAGCAAGAACAATGTCATTAGATTGCTTGAGAAAATAAATATTTCAGGAGAAGAAGAGTGTTGAAAGATGCAATAAATGAGTATATATTTACTTACTGACATGACAAGCAATGTCTATGTTTTTGTTTAGTCGCTGTTCATACTCAAGGATAGCTATCGGAAACTATCAGAATTTTTCTGATAACCTCATTGCAATTCGGTCAAAAATTAGAAAATTCCTCAAAAGATAGATATAATTTATACTGAAGTCTTTTGCCATACTTTTTTCATTATAAAAAAAGTACAATAATTATGATTATTCTATGGATGATTATAATAATAATGGATTGACTATTATTCTGATTGACATTAGATTAGGTTCAAAGCACTACTCCTTACGATTCCACTAGGTAGAATTTTCTAACGAATCATGAAATAATATTCACAATCAAAAAGTCACCGGGTGACATAGTATGAAACGGATGAATTTTTCGAGCAAAGAAATTATTGATATATTCTCCACTACAGAACTAAATATGTATGTAAAATTGTTTGAAAATCCAGCTTTCTTTATTTAACAAGCATAAGCTAAGTAGAACTCCGTGGCAAACGATCTTTTTGCTATCGAATACCAGTCTGGAGAAGAGTCATAGATAGAATCACATGGAGATACATGTTTTTGTCTTTGAAAATAGACGAATGGTATACAACAGTTGTGACAATGTTAGAAAAGATTGTCGGTTTGATAGAAATGATAAAACTATATATTTCTTTATTGAAACAATTATTTCTTTTTTCTTCAAATGAAGCCAAAATTGAAAGAGATCCAGTTACTCAGCAACAAAAACATCTGTTTTTTCCACTTCAAAAAGCCTCGAATCGATTAATTTGAAGTTCTAATAAAATTTAAAATTAACTTCACTGCTCCATGTGATGTATGATGGAGTTATACTAAGGTAATTTTACATTAGAGCTAGTTGGACTGACAAGTCATCAGTACGCTCATTTCATTTGTTGCGTATTCACATTCCAATCAGTGTTTGATCTATTAAAGCTTTATGAATGACTTCATGATTTTAAAAATTGAAGAAATCAAATAAACTAATAGACAGAGTTGCAGCGATTTATATTTGTCTCCAATTGGAAGTCACAGAACAATCTATCATTCTTCAGTGTATACAAAATAATCTCTCATAACTGAAACATACAAGTTTACTGTTTTTCAAATATTCAAAAAACATATTAATCAAATTGAGTTAATTACAAAATGTATCTAATGCAGATTCAATTAACGGGATCTTTCCTTTGAGTTTGCAAGTCAAAATGTAGTTTTCTGAAAGCCCATAAATTTCATTATCGACCTGCATAGAAAAATCCATGTTATTCAAAGTATTTACTAAACTTTTTCTAGAGTTAGACTAAATCTCTGAACTTACTTAGATCATGATGTTGTTAGAGTGCAGATAAAACTATGCCTACCTTTATAAAAAAAAAACACCTATTTGAAGCAATAGAAAAACATACAGGCACATTTGGAGAGGTATGTTCAGATTTCCGAAAAAGGAAATTACAGAAATTTCCGAAGCTTCCATCAACTCGATTACTACATAGCAAAGCAAATGAAAATTTTTTGAAAATATTTGAAAGTTTAGAAATTTCGCTTTGTACAGAATTTTGGAAATTTCAGAAATTTCGGAAATTGTATAATTTTGGGAAGTACCAAACAATTTAGAACACAAGTACTTGAAATTTCCAAAACTTCCAAAATTTCCTTTTTTGGAAGTCTGAACACTGCTGCACTTGGAAAAATATTCGTTTTTACATTTCCATTAGAAATGCTTTTTTAGATTTGGTGATGAAAAGCATATTTATGCTGATCGCCACAATTATTTAATCTATATTTACTTCACTACTACAGACGCTTCGAACTGATTACACATTTAATTGTTGATGTCGCAACTGGTGTTTCGACGTATATGGAGAGATGTCGCAATAAAAATTGAACGAACGAACGAACGAAGTGAATTATATTCGATAGATTAGAAGAAAGGAAGAATACGTCTTTGTTCTGTTCAGCGTTCGCTTAATTGTACAGCATTTCATCGCCCTTCGTTTTCACTCAGTCATACAGCAAAATGCAAAACACAGTTCGGGATTATCAGGCTGACAAAAGTAAGAGTGTTTAGATTTGAATTATTGTTTGAAATTAAATTGTTTTATTTCAAGATAAAATAAAAGATTTTCTCAATGAATTCGAAATCGATACAGCTGATGGGTATAAAGCATCAAAATATGCTAAGCAATTGGTAATTTCACTTTTTTTCTCTTCAATAAAATTAAATCGATTTCGCTTACTTGTGAAATCTTTAGAGAAATTTAGCAAATCGTGAACAAACAACATTAGTCATTGATATCGATGATATAGCTTTAGTTGATCCTGAATTAGCTGATGCTGTCACTGAAAATTGTCGTCGATACACCCAACTTTTTTCTCAAGTTATTCAAGAAATGTTGCCCGAACTAAAAGATAAAGAAGTAATTTATAATTGGAAAGTAAATTAATTGAATTATGCTTTTTATTTTTAATTCAGGTTCAAAATAAAGATGTACTTGATGTTTATATTGAACATCGTACACTAATGGAACAACGTATGCATAACAATACAGAAGAATCACGTGATCCAATGAATCGTTACCCAGAAGAATTGATGAGACGATTGTAGGATTTGCTTTATTTTTTTGTATTTCAGTAATTTACTTAGAAGTTCACAGGCTTCTTGACGAGTTATTAGATCAGTGCTGAAAGTTCGTCAAGCGATACAAAAATTCGATTTCTCAGTTTTTGAACACCCCCTTCGATGAAACAATTAGCCATCTTGACAAACGTTTTTCGATTAATTTCTATATACTAATTAAAAATTTGTTTCTAGTGAACTGTACTTTAAATCATCAAGTACACAAAAACATTTATCTGTTCGTCAAGTTAAGGCACATCAGATTGGAAAATTAATATCCGTTAAAGGCGTTGTTACGCGTGCCACTGAAGTTAAACCAATGATAAATGTTGCAACGTATACATGCGATATATGTGGTGCTGAAACTTATCAACCGGTAAATTCAATAAAAAAGAGAAAAGACTTCAACTTTTCAAATTGAACGATGTTTTTTCTCGTCTTGTGTATAGATAACTTCACCAACATTCATGCCGCTCGTTATGTGTCCAAGTCAAGATTGTGTTACAAATAAATCAGGTGGACGTTTATCATTACAAACACGTGGCTCGAAATTTATTAAATTTCAAGAAATTAAAATTCAAGAACATGTAAGTTCTATCGCAAATAACGACAGTAATAAATAGAATTAAATTTGATCACATTTGTTATTCATAGACTGATCAAGTACCTGTTGGAAATATTCCACGTTCCATGACAATATGGTGCCGAGGAACGAATACACGTATATGTCAGCCAGGCGATAATGTAGCTATAACGGGTATATTTTTACCATTGCTTCGTACTGGTTTTCGTCAAATGGCGCAAGGTCTTTTGTCTGATACTTTTCTTGAAGCACATGTAAGTTGCAATCGGGTAGTTTTCGAAAATTTTCATGCATTTATTTATTGCAGAGAATTATTTTATTGAATAAAAGTGAAGATGAAGAAATTGAAAATAAAGAATTGAATGAAGTTGAACTAGCTGATCTTTTTGCAGGTTCGTTTAAACATAGAAATACTTCTTTGAAATTTTATATCCATTTAATTTTTTGTTAGACAAAGATTTGTATGATCGTTTGGCAATGAGTATTGCACCAGAAATTTATGGACATGAAGATATCAAAAAAGCTTTGCTCCTTCTACTCGTTGGTGGTATTGATAAATCACCACAAGGAATGAAAGTTCGAGGTATGTCAATTTGAAGTACTATCTTAACCCTTTCCAGCCGGATGTTGCCATTTTGCAACATTGAGTTAACATTTCGTGCAGGGCTGATCTGTACTCATCATATTTAATTCTTTAGCACATTGATAATTACGCCAATACATTTCTGAGTAAATCCATAAACGTACAAGATAAATATAACCTTTCACTGAATACAGGGAGGGCTCGGTTTGGGATCCCCCCAAAAAGGGTCGGAATAGAAATTCTGCGTTTTTCTNCCTATGGATGTATGATCTATTGAGTTACTCAGATGGATTAGGCAGTGAATTCGAAAAATTGACATGTTGGGATTTTGCTTGTAGGCCACACTCGACCGTTCGGTAACGTGTAGCTTTTTTTTGTACCAACGACCACACTTTTAGCATCTCCCTGATAACGGAACTAAGAATTCGCCCGAAAATATTTGTTTTCTACCGGTCTTCTAGTAGCCGGCTGGAAAGGGTTAAATAACTTAGTCTGACTTATTCGATTGCATTTTACCTTGAGTATGGGAATGTTTAGGATAAGCAAAACCATGCATATCATTTCTATTAATGCAGTTAGAAGTGGACTTGTTCTCTTCAATTAAATATTTGGATGTATTCTTTTTTAGGCAATATCAATATTTGTCTTATGGGTGATCCTGGTGTTGCTAAATCACAATTATTAAGTTATGTTAACCGTTTAGCACAACGTAGTCAATACACAACTGGTCGCGGTTCATCCGGTGTTGGTTTAACCTCAGCACTTATTAAAGATCCGGTTACGAGTAAATAGTAAAGATTTCGCATTCAAATAAATATATGTATATATTTTTAGATGAACTGGTCCTCGAAGGTGGTGCATTAGTCTTGGCTGATCAAGGTATTTGTTGTATTGATGAATTTGATAAAATGACTGAACATGATCGAACTGCAATCTATGAAGTAATGGAACAGCAAACAATTTCTATTGCTAAAGTAAAACTTGAGAAGAAATTTTTGACTAGTCCACAATAATCATTAAATATTTCATCTTAGGCTGGCATATTAACATCATTAAATGCGCGTACGTCAATCTTAGCTGCTGCTAATCCTGCGTATGGTCGTTATAATCCTAAGCGATCAGTCGAAGCTAATATTCAATTACCAGCAGCACTCTTGTCGCGTTTTGATTTACTCTGGATAATTCAAGATAAAAACGATCGTGAAATAGATCTGAAATTAGCTCGTCATATTGCATCTGTACATCAAACTGGATGTCAACCTGAACTTGATAATTTACATCAATATATTGATATGAAAACATTACGGTAGTGTTTGAAAATCAATAGTTTTTGTTGTAGTTTGATCTTTTGTTTTTGTTGTTTTTTTAGACGATACATCGCAACATGTAAGAAGAAACTACCGTTAGTACCTGAATCATTACTTGATTATGTTGTTACGGCTTATGTTGAATTACGTAAACAAGCACGTGTTAGTAAAGATATGACATACACATCAGCTAGAATGCTTTTGTCAATTCTTCGTTTATCAACTGCACTTGCTCGACTTCGTTGTGGTGATCTTGTATCCAAAGATGATATTGATGAAGCACTTCGTTTAATGGAATCATCAAGATTATTATTAAAAGATCATGATAATGTACCAACACGGTAAGAAAATTTGGTATTCATTCTTTCCTAATGCAACGCTGAGGTTTCTGTTTTTTTGTCGTTTAGACAAATCAATCCAATCGATCAAGTATTTTCTATTGTTCGCGATATGGTACCATCAACAGGTGTTAAACTTGTTCGTTATGCAGAAGCTAGAGAACGTTGTGTTGCAAAAGGTCTTAAACCCGATACATTCGATGTTGCACTTGAACGTTATGAAGAAATGGGCTTATGGCACGTTAATCAACAACGTACAACAATTACAATTGTTTAAGAAAAAGTTTTTCTTTGATTTAGCCGAATATAACTGTATATACGTCTATTTTTTTTGTCGTCGAATACTGTCAGATTCATATATATTTGTGTAGAAAAAAACAAAGAATATTTTTTTTATACTCTATGTTACATTAGGTATGATTGTAAAAAGAAAAACATTAGACATAGAATTATATATGTTTGAATAATAAAAATGAATAAATAAAACGTATATTTGGTATTATTTGAAAATAATCGATAAATATTTACTATTTTTCTTGTCTGTGAAGGAACTTGTGTGAATAAGTGCATACCACGACATTCTCACCATCATGAGTTCAAAGACTACAATCTTGAGGGTGTGGGGTGTGGGTATTCTGCTTATAATCTACACCGACACCCTTGACATAATTCATAATAAAAATAGAAGGAATCAAATGAACATTGTTCGCGATCCAACTATTCTACAATATCTATTTGAAACAAGTTCGAGAGATGAGGACTGAAAACCGATTGCATCTAAAAGTGAGATAAAATCCTACAAAAAAGGTCGATTGGGAAATAATGAAATTAACATTACTTCTGTGCCTGCCATTGATAATCTATCAGCCTTAGAAGAATGTGGTATCAAGCATAAATTCAAAGGACGAATTAACATACGCGATGAAACTGGAAATATTCGATATCGAACTTTTATTCCCGATGGCATAGAGTTGCATGAAGGAAAATGGTATTTTCGTGTTAAGCTTCCACTAGGTGGAGCAGCACAAATTGGCTGGGTAACAAATGGATTTAATCCAGTGCAAAATGGAAGCTATGGCGCTGGCGATAATAGATTTTCATGAGGTTTTGATGGAGCAAGAGGAGTTTATGATTGTAATCGACCTAGTGTGTTTTTTTCTTGAAAATGATTGGAATGAAGAGGACGTATGCAGCTGTGGTATTGAAATCGATGGTAAAAATACGAATATACAATATTGGTTAAATGGTAAAGCGTTATTTGCTTTGTTTCTGATCACGCGCAATGTTCTCTTTTTTTTGGTTTATTTGTTGCTTCGATTTTGAGAATACAATAAAAGGGAATAAGCATAAGCAAAGTTTTGTTTTTGAATCAATTCTTTTTCTTCTTTCTTTGTTTATTGTAAATATTTTTCAACGATGACATATGATTGTATTGTTATACTTGGAGGTGGTGCTGATTTAAATGGATCTCCATCAGCTTGGGTATGTGCTCGTCTTGATCGAGTCATTGAAATGGCTTCATCTGTATCTTATTTTTTGGTTTTAAGTCGTTGTACGACACATCATCCGCCTGTACTTGATAAAAATTTATTTCCGATTGATGAAGCAACAGCTAGTGCTGCTTATTTTGCTCGTCAATGTATTATGGAACCGATGGACTTGCATCGTTTAGCTGTTATTACAAATGATTTTCATATGACTTGAACAAAGTTTATTTTTGATTGGATGTTTTCATTATCAACTTCAGCAATAGATCGTTGTGAAAAATATTCTATTGAATATTTTACGGTTAGCAATCAGGATATGACAGATGAACAATTAGTAGCACGTATTGACAAAGCACATAGTACATGCGAAGATGTAAAAACAAAAATACAAATGTTAAACAATTTTTCTCAAATGGCGCAATTTTTATTTATTGAACATGGAGCATATAACGCAAAATCTCTTCATTCACGACGAAGTCAACTTGATTCGTTGGCTGTATCAACATATTAATATTTCTCATACACCAGATACGCGTATCTATATCAAACGAATTTATTAAAGACATTTGCATGCACACAAATATTTGAATTGGACAAATAAAACGACATGCAAAATATTCATGCAGTCAAATGAATAATATCCAACAGACAACTTGTTTTCACTTTTGCACTATTATTTTTTTCATAAATAAATGATTCAATTTTTGATATCGGCTATTTCTTTTTATCGAAATCTAACAAATCTACTCTCAATAGTGCCAGATTTTAGTTACTTAAGTACAATAAAGCCAGTTTAAAAAAATTTTCATTGTGATTTTCAAATACAAATAATATTCTAGCCTCAATCTATCGGAATATGTTCAATCTAAAGATTGGAGAAACTATTCTATCGTATTATTAGATGTTCATACATCACAACTAGATGCTCGAAACAAACTGATTCAAAGCGCTAATGATTAACTGTTTTCTATTTGAGCTTACCCATGTCGCACAAACCGATCGAAAACCGTCGGTTAACCGCGGTCAATTTTTTATAGAAATCGGTTAACCGCGGTTATTTAAGCCATTTTAGCGACTTTACAGCGTAAAAACCAACGGTTAACCGGAAAAATAATCGCCAGTTAGCGACATAACCGATGACTTGTCCGGTTAACTGGGAGGTTAACCGTTGGTTTTTACGCTGTAAAG